GGGGGGGGGGTAAGCGGCTGGCAGCCACAGAGCCCAGGCTGTGGGGCAGGGGCTTTGGGTGGGGGGCAAGGGGCAGTAAGGCTGGGTGACAGGGGCTTCCGGTGGGGGGGCAAGGGGCACAAGTAGGGCATCCTGCCATGTACCCCTTGCCCTCATTTTGTTTTTCTGCCATGCCGGCACTCTGGCGCCTTCCAAGGTAGGCATTGTGGTGTTTTTCGGCACTCCAGCCAAAAGACATTGCCTACCCCTGTTCTAGGTCATTGATTCCAGTCCCTGCTGTCTGAGGGGACCGCATCCTATTATCTCCTTCATACCAGCTTCACCTTAAATCTAGTTGAGACTTTTGCCCCTAGTACTCCTTTCCTCGCTTTTCATTAAGGGGGAAGTGGGTGAAAGCAGGAGCAAATATAGGATGGTGGATGAGAATGAAGATAAGGAAGCAGAAAGTACCACATCTGAGGTAGAAGTAGAGCGGAGCTCCATGTGCTCGGACCAGGTCGATTGGGTAAATTTGGTCCTAGAGTTCTGGCAGGTCTGGCAGGTGCAATCACAGGTGTGACAGCCAGGCTGCCCCAGGACCTCTCTCCATTTTTTCTTGTACCAGCATTGACCTTTGGTTTAAAAATAGCTCTTTCCTCCTCCTAAGTATATTTATAGAAAACAATCCCATAGGCTCTTTGCCTCTGTTTTGTTAGGCCAGACAAGCCAGCTTAGTGTCCTCTTGTATGTTTGGCTCTCCATTCCTTGGATCATCCTTCTCTGAACCTGTTCCAGTTTGAATTTATCTTTCTTGAACATGGTTCTTCAAAAACTTAGGGTTCATTTACCTTGCAGCCGGTAGTGTAGCCTTGCTACACTATGGGTATTTCCCATATTTCTGGGCTTTTTTGGTTGCCACATGGGACTGAGAAGGAATATTTTTCCCTCCTGTTGTTACACATCTCGGGGGGCAAGGGCACCTTTCTCAGAAGCCCTGGGGATGGCTGCAGCTACGGCTGGGTTTTATGCTAAGGTGGATCAGTGCTGTAGCTGGAACTAAAACCTGGAGGTTTCTTGCTAGAGGGTCTTGCTCCTTCCTTCAAGGTCAAACCCATTACCATATTTTGTCTGGGAGGAATTATCCCGCATTAGGGCTTTGCCTTCCTCTGTAAGTGAGGGGTGCTGTGGCTGCCTTCCTTGATCTCTTGAGCCTGTTTCAATGACCCTTGAAGCAGCAGGACATCGGATTCTGTTCTCCTCCTGCTTTACCTGTGGCAGGTTAGGGTACTATTCCTTGTGGTTGTCTGACAGCGTTGCCTGTGTAGATTTAGTAATAGGGTAGACAAGGATTTGCTTGGAATGGTTTGGATAGGAAGCATTGATTCTGCCTCAGGCAGTTGGTCAAACTAGATGACCTTCAGAGGTCAGAGGTCCCTTCCAGCGCTGCTTATCTATTATTTTGTGATCACATGCTTTAGCGCAGTCCAGATTTCTGACTTTCTAGACCAGAGGTGCTCAACCAGTCAGTGGGGTGCTGCATGTATGTGCACGCATGCACACACACACCAGTGCTCTCCCCCCCGCCCTGCCCTGGCCTAGGGGTGGTGCCCACCCCACATCTCTGCCTGCTGCTCGGAAGGGGGCAGGCTGGGCGGTGCAGGCCGCTCTGCCTCCCTACTGGACTGCACCCCCTACCCCTGCCCACCTGCCTCTGCCTGCAGCAGTGCCACTGACTTGGGGGGGAGGGGGGGGGGGCCAAAATACAAGTTCACCCAGGGCACTATTTTCCCTAAGGTGGGCTCCGCACGGAGTCATAAATATAAATAAATAAATATGGCAACCCTTCCCCACTGCCAGATTCCCAGACCATAAGCCCTGCACAGCAGGTTGGGGGCAGGTCATGCCCCTTTCCCCCCACTCCCACAGCCAGACGAGGCTGGGCCATGGCCCTCCTGCCATGCTGAATGGGCCTTGACCATGCCCCCTTACCCTGTGGGGCCAGATTGGGGCTGCTCAAGCCCTCTTCCCCCTTCGTCCACCTGTGGGGCTGAGCCACACCTCTTCCGTCTCCCTGTGGGGCCAGGTTGAAGCCAGGATGCCCCCTGCCCTGCTCTGCACTCTTGGATGGGGCCCTCCCACAGCTTCCCTGTGCTGGATCAGGACCCTCAGCCAGATCTTGCCTGTGGATAGCCTGGGCACTGTCGGTCCAGCCCACTGGCCAAAAAGGTTGAGCACCACTGTTCTAGACAAAGGAGATTAATCTGTCAAGAAGCAGAATAGGTGGTTTCCAATTCCCTAACTGTCTCAGGTTCCTCCCATGGTGCTGCTGAGGAAGATAAATTCCCTGCCTGTAGTAGGGGTCTGGGTTCTTAACCCTACCCATGGCAGAGATGGCAGCCAACTCATACTGCCTTGCTATAAGGCTTGTATGACTGATCCCTATGAGTTGTCACCTTATGACTCAGAGAGCGTGCTGTAAGGCTGCAGATCTGTGCTCAAAGTCAGAAGGCTGCACCCAAGACAGGCCTTGCGGCTATGATTTTGGTGGTTTGCTGTCAAGCAACAGTGAACCAGGCTGGAAGCTGAATCAGGGTTTAGTCACGTATGTGGATGAGTCACTGGCTCCTTGTGCAATGAGGACACGGTGCATGTCTTTTCTGTGGCTCCAGGCTGTGGTTGGTCACATCTCCCGAGTTTTTTGGGGTCTTTGTTCCCCACCCACTTTTATTTCGTCTTAGAGCCTTTTCTCTCACCTGCTGCCTGTCCAGTCTAACGGACTCTGCAGCTTCTTGCCCAAGGGCTGTTAGACATAAAAGAACACGTGTGGTTTGCCTAGCTCCCAGAAGAGGGCCGCCTTCTCTGAGGGCAAGAGAAAGTGGTAGGGGCAAGGAAGCAGCCCATGAGTCCCCTAATCTTGGACCTGTCAGTTTGGAGGATGGGATGGGCTAGGCTGCCATAACTGAGCGGGCACAACATAGAGTTTCTGGATTTAATGCTGAATTAAAGCAAGATGACCCAGTCGCTGAGCAGGCCCCGGCACACTGCATGGCTCCAGACCCCTGTAAAAGAGGATGGTAGGATCTGAGGGAGAGGGAAATACATTTTATAGGTAAGGAGTCACATGATCCAGAGGTAGGAGCAGACAGCTCTGGGAGTCGGACTCCAGGGTCCGATACCTAACCTGTTGCTGACACTCTCCTCCCTGCCTATGAAATAACCGTGATGATCACCATTGTAGTGTGCTAAGGGCTCTGCTGCTGTTAGACTGGGTGCTTAGCGCTAACCTTATTCTCTATGGCCAGCTGTTCTGTTTTCCCTCCTATCAGCCCTCTGCCCTGGGCCAAACCCCACAATGACCTGTAGGTGTGTTTGTGTCTGTAGCTGGAGGACTGCACACTGCAGGTCTCGCCATCGGGACACTACCTGGATCTTGAACTATCACTGCTGGAACAGAAAGATGAGCTGGAAGGGTTCTATGAGGAAGCAAGGTGAGCTATGGGAATCATGGATATTCCTGTCTGAACAATTGGGGTGGAGCCATCCTGTAGCCCAGTGAGCCACTGTTCCCTAGCACAAGACCTCCCAGTCTCTCCCCTCCTTCCCATGGTTCCTCCAGATGCCCAGTGTGCTCCATTCTTATGAAACATAAGGAGCCAAGTTTTTGGTGCTTGTGTCTTTCCTGGCTGCTCAGCAAGACAGGGAAGACAAGGCCTAGGTGGGCAGAATGAATGACTGGAATTGGGGCTTGGTCTGGAAAAGTCACTTGGGAGATCTGCTCCTTTGCAGACATTTGTATAGACTTAAAATGTGCTCCTGGGCCAACAGGCTAGGGCCATGCTTTAGGCAAACTCAGGGCCAGAGCAAACTCAGGGCCAGAGTAGCAGGCACTGGCTGTGGGTCAGGACTGAGATACTCTGAGAAAGGATTGTGGAGACTCCAGGATGTGACTGGGTGTCAGCCTAGGTGGAGGCTCCAGGGTGTGACTTGTGTGCTCTCTCCTCTGTGTGACTGCATATTCTTACTGCCCTGAGAGCAGCTATAGCTGTCCTACCTTGTGTGTCCCAGAAACACCTGGCAGCTTAGCATTTCTGCTCTCCTTGTTCCTGGCCACTTCCTCATAACCTGTTGCAGTTCTTAGTGGTGGGACTGGGTGCAGGCATGTATCCTCTAGAACTGGGGATGTGGGGGGGTGGTAGAGGTAGAGGTGACTGCTGGGGAATCTGGGAGAGAAGAGGTGGTGATGGGGAGGGCGGCAGGCATTGGTTAGTGTGGGTCTAGGATTCATGAACATGTAAACTCCTAGTAGGTATACTGTAAGCAGGCTCTGGCAGCTCATGAATGAGGCTATTGGTGATGAAGATGTTCATGGTGACTTATTTGCTTTCTTCTCATTCCAGCAAAGGGAGGCGACCAACTCTTATCGTGCGCACTCAGCTTTCTGTTCGAGTCCAGGCCATCCTCGGTGAGTCATTCACCTCCTAGGGCTTGGAAACTCTGTTCTGAACTCAGCCTGTTTCCATGTTCCTTACATTCTAGATATTGGCTTTAACTGGTCCAAGACCACATAAACCAGTAGCTCGTCACTGTTAGAGTATCACAGAACAGGGCTGTTTGGGACCTGGTTAATCCTGGTTTCTTAGTTAATTCCCAAGTGGTACTGGAGACTAATGCAGATACCTGACTGGCAGGTTCCTTCCCCATCATCCAGTGTGCATCTCTGCTCTCACTGGCTGCATGTCACTGTTGGACCAAGTTGGGTTCTTCAAGCCCCTCTCACTAATGAGGACCTTGTGAAAAGCAAATACCATAGAGAAGGAAGTTCTGAGTAAGCCACAGGTGCTAATTTTGACACTATGGGTGAAGCATGACCTAAAAGTACTGCCAGCATGTGATGCAGTAGGCTCGCTAGGCCTTTCAAGGGCAGGGCTCTAAGCAGACCTCCTACTTATGAATCCCCTTGGGGACAGGAAGTAGCTCAAATAAGAAGCAGGGGAGCAGGTGACTGCTGCAGAGACATGCCCCGAGTTGTGATGTGCCTGCCTTAGATTTTGCAATAGCACAATGAAGAGCCAGGTTTGTAGAGCCTGACATGAAAAGAGCAGTGAAATTAAATATGTATAGATATTACTGACCGTTTCCATTTGAAACGGAAAACCCAAATCCCTGCTTATCACTGTTGCCCTCACCCTGGGGCCTCTGTGGCCCAGTGGGTGGGACCCAGCACAGCAGAGCACAGTGGGGCCAGACAGGCTACAAACCCTGCACTATCATGGCCAAGTGCCCCCTCCCTGGCCACCAGCAGCAGGGGCATGGAATTGTGCCCCTTGCTGCTGCCTCACCAGGACAACGCACAGCTCCCAACAGTGGCAAGGAGCTTCCCTGCCTGGCCCCCATGTGCCCTGTCATGTCAGGTACTGCCCACTGGGCCACAGAGGCCCCAGGTGGAGGGCAGCAGGGCAGGGAGCCCAGTCCTGCATTAGTCAGCCTGGATCCACACCCATCAGGGGTACCAGCAGGGCCAGGGGTCTGTGGTTGAGGAGTGAGGGGCACCAGCAGGGCTGTGGGGTTGTGGCTGGGGAGTGAGGGGCCTGGACCTGTGTCCTGGTGAGTGAAGGGGGCGGAGTGGGCTCAGGTGTTGCATTAGCTGTGTGTGGGCTCAGGGTGATGAACATGCTCCTGGTAGTGTGTGCTGTAGCCCAACCCTGTGCCCAGGGGGGGTTTTCCTCCTTGTCATGAGGCTGCCCATGCTAGTTGAGGGTTTCATGGCACCAGTAGAACAACTATTGTGGGAGTTTATAGTTGCCCTAACATGGTAGCAACTATCAGTTCCATGTAGGGGGCTGAAAACTGAGATGGAAACCTGAACAGTCTTCGCAGCCATGGACACTGGTGGAGGAAGCCTTGGGTTGGGGCAGTGTGTGGCTGAACTGCCTGGTTGCTGTGCTCTGAATCAACAGGAACTTTTCACAGAGTCAGGCACTTTATTGCTAAATAGAGACCATTGGTAGTCTTGCTAGGATGTCACAAGGATGTGGGTCACAGAACAACCAGTGACACCCTGTGCAGCCTATGGCCAACTGTAGGTGGGGTTCATTGCCTTGGTTGTTTGGGTCTCCTGATACAGTGAGAGTCTGCAGATGAGGGTATGTGAGACAGTTTAGTAGTATGAAAGCAGATGCCTTCAGTGGCTGGGGCACTTCCTTATAAGTCTGCACATTTCCCTGGTGGTGTCCTCTCAGTTTGTGCAGGAGAGGATCTCTTTCAGGTGGTGGGGAAGCTGGAAGTGACGCAAGTCCTATTTGATGAATGGGTGTTATCCACAGAGCACCAGCATTTCAGCCCATACCATCTTGCTAGTGTTCCCCGGGGCTTTACATAGCTCTCAGTGGCCACCCTGAAACTCCAAAGGTGGAGGAGTGGCCCTTTAGGTTGCATCAGCAGAGCAGGTCTGAGCTATGTCAGGGGGAAATTGCTGCCCCCTCCAGCCTCAAAGGAGTCTGTCTACCAGTGATATTGCTGACCCCTCCAGCCTCAAAGGAGTCTGTCTACCAGCATCCAGCGCCAAGGAGAGGCTAGACCAGGACAGAGGTGGCCAAGTGCAGCCTGCCTAGTGGGATCTCTTCCCCCTTTCTGTATGCTGCATCCTCTGCTGCTTGTCCCAGGCCAGAGGTGGCCACAGCTCCACAGACTATGGTTGTTTACCCTGAGAGCTCGTCTGCACTGATAAGCACTGCAGGAATTTCCTGTGCTGTCGTGCCTGGCTTTGGCTGAGGCATGCTGCAGGGCTGGAGGTAGACTGCACATGCTGCAGGACACACCAAGGCCTGGTCCACAGTCCAAGTACAAGGCTGCTCTCAAGTACAGCAGCTGAATCAGTGCAGGTGGCTTGACAAGAGAAGGAGGGTGAGTCTGGGGGCATTGCAGGGTGGAGAGCAGTGTCCCTTGGAAGGGGCTGGGGGGAGGTATTATAATGGAGGATGGGATACCCCAGCACAGGTGCTATGGTGTGTGGTGAAGGCTGCAGCCAAGCAGATGGTGTCCATCTTCTGTTTCTGCTGCAGGATCCAGCACTATTTTCAGGGGAGGAGGAGGTGCTGCTGCAGCAGTACTAGGAGCAGAGCGCAGCCTATCCTCTTTGTCCCGTCTGCACCTCCCAGGGATGGCCTGTGTTGAGCTGCATGCTGGGGGAGATGAGAAGTGGTGCAGGCTGCAAGGAAGAGGTTGGCAGTCTGATTCCCCAAACTGACTGCCATTCTGCTCCCTCTGTCCTGTGTGTGCGATGGGCTCTGAGCAGCTCAGGAGAAGCAGTAGCAAAGGAGGCCTGAGGGCCTCTTGTAGCTGGGAACACTTTGGTCTTTGTGCACCTGTAGGCACCTTCCTCAGGAGCTGCAGATGTCTCCAGGAGCCCAGTCCTGGCTCTGTTATGGACTCCCTGCATTTCTCTCAGTTCTCAGTTTCTAAGGACACCACCTGGGACAGAGGCTCTGACCTTTGAGCAGGTTTCCACCCTCATCTGATGTCACAGTCACAGACAGATCCTGAGGAGCAGGGATCCTGTTTCCCTGTAGATACCACTGGTGATTCAAACAGAACCAAGGTTCTTGTACTCACTCAGGGAGAGGGGTATCTCACAAAGGGAAACCAAGACACTCCCACTGGCACAGGCTGGTCTTGGAAGTTTGACAGAGGTTACCAATGGGGCGTTGGTCTATAGAACTATAAATAATAGTGACTTTCCCAGAAAGGGTGGGGGGGGGGTCCCCTGGCTAGGCTGTACTATATAATGAAACTCCTTTCACTGTATTTCTTCCTCTGAAGAGTAGAGTAGGGGAGATCATCATTTCAGAACAGAAGTGTTTGAGGAAGAGAAACCTGAATCTGAGCTGAGTTACATGAGGTAGGTTCTTTAACAAAGAAAGCCTGAGCTCTCTGGTGGTTGCCACTGGTAGCTGTGTCTCCATCAGGGAGAGAGCAGCACAGCAGTTATTTATAACCCTCTGAGTGCTGAGTAAATGCATCCTGGTTGGGAGCATGGAGCTGGAGCCCCTGCGGAATCTCTGACAGTGTTTCCCTATTCAGTGCCTTCAGCTGGCGCCCTCTGTGTGATAGCTGCCATTTCCTGCACATCATAAACTTTAATGGATGTAGCCTCAGTCCCCCTGGAAATACATGGAAAAGTCAAACTGCATCCCTTTGCCAAGGGAACTCCTCCCTGTGTCTTTTGCTGCCATATCTGTCACACGCGGGATATCATGGAACATGTTACCAAGTGAGGGTGGATGAAGAACACCGATGGCCGTAGGCTTCCCATTTCCTTTTCCTCCTACCTGTGGTGCTTTAAGTGTTCTCTTAACCCCTTTTGCCCAATCTGGAGTCTCCAAGCTCATGTAAATGTAACCCAGTGGCTCTTGAGGACCTAAGGGGTTAAGCTTCTTCAGCACAAAGATTTGCTGTACCAATATTTTTGCTTGTTGGACTGAAAACATGTTGCATGCTACAAATATTCTGGGTTGTCCAGGCAAACGCTAAAAATAGCCTTGGAAAGAACAAACAAGTCTCTTGTGGACAAGAAACCCCTAATGGTGGGTCAGGCATCCAGTTCTGGGAACCAGCATGGGAACTTGGAACCAGTGCGTCCCCCCACTTCGTTCTGGGTGGGAGGAAGAACAAGTATTGCCCAGGGAGCTGTGACAGTGAGACACGGGCCTGTGGGTCTTCAGCCATGGCCTCTGGTCCTCTTGGTCCAGCTGCACTCAGATCTTTTCTTGCCAGTACCAGCCAGTTATTGAAGATGCCATGAGATGACCTCCAGGGGATTCCCTGGAGCTGCTTGCAGCTCTTGCTCTAAACCAGGGGTGGGCAAAATATGGCTCACGGGCCACATCCGGGGGTGCCAGGCCATTCTATCCAGTCTGCAGGGCCCCTAAAAAATTTAGACAATCAATATTTATCTGCCCGTGGCTCCTGTCACCTTTGACAGGAGCCAGGGGCAATAGGACCTAGGGGAAGTCCCAGCAGGCTCCCGCAACAGTGGGGCCCACTTGCCCCCCCGCCCCCTCCCCCAGCCAAAAGCCCCTGCCTAGCAGGGGCTTCTGGCCTGGGACCCTGGGGCTGTTAGTGGCTGCACCGGTGTGGGAAATTCAGGTAAGAAGTGGGGGAGGCAGAGGAGGACCGTGGGGATTGCCCCAGTCCTCGGGGCTGGGCCAGCTCCTGCTGAGCCCCATGATTTGGCCATGCAGCCAGGAGCCGGAGGGCAGGTGGGAAAGCGGTGGCGGAGTAGGGGGGAGTGGAAGCGAGCAGGAGCACGGGGCCTGTGTCGGTGTCGCAGGGCCAGTGCCAGCAGGGCCCAGAGTGGGGTGGTAGGAGTGCAGGGTGGGGGCTGGCAGGGGCCGTGGAGCCAGGCTGGGCTGCATCAGCAGGGAGAGCGGAGAGCTGACCCAGCTGCATAGAGTCCCTGCCAAC